TCTCTCTAAAAATCAATGGAAAAAATATCCTTGAGTAAGGATTAACATAAATTGTTGTTTCTTCATGCTTCCAAAAATTTGTACATATTTATTGAACTAACTCTATTGACTTATAGGAAATAGAGTAGTAGTACATTATGGTACAAAGTATGAGATAAGAACTCATCAAACTCTTACCTAAAGCAATAAAGATGTATCAGTGAATCCTAGAAAATTTGCTACTGACTTTGTTTTTTGATTGCTCAATAAGGGTGTACAGTTTATATGTTGTACTTTTTTCTTTTTAAAAGTAGTGTGGTTTTATTTTTTTATTATATTTTATTGATTTTTTACAGAGAGGAAAGGAGAGGGATAGAGAGTTAGAAACATCGATGAGAGAGAATCATCAATCAGCTGCCTCTTGCACGCCCCCTACTGGGGATGTGCCCGCAACCCAGGTACATGCCCTTGACCAAAATCGAACCTGGGACCTTTCAGTCTGCAGGCTAATGCTCTATCCACTGAGCCAAACCAGTTTCAGCAGTAGTGTGGTTTTAGTATCAAAAGATAAATAGGGAGCATTATCTCAATTCATTGAGGTTTTGCTTCCCAGCATATGTGGACAGTTTGGCTCAAATAAACTCAGAAAAGTTCCTTAAAAAAAAAAAAAAAAAAAAAAAGATAAATAGTATTATATTTTGGTATAACTTTATTATAAAGATATTTTAAAAAGAGAATTGCAAGAGGAATTATATCTGGTATAGCCTTTTGTTTTTAGGTGGTCGAAATGTTTTTGTAATTGCATTTATTTTATATATATATTGATTTCAGAAAGAAAGGGAAAGGGAGAGAGAAACATCAATGATGATAGTGAATCATTGATTGGCTGCCCCTTGAATGCCCCCTGCTAGGGATTAACCTGAAACCTTCATTGTCTGTGACCTTTTGGTTTATAGGTTGATGCCCAGTCACTGAACCACACTGGCCAGGCTAGAGACATTTCATTTAAATGTTACATGATAGGAAGGTAGAATCTTGTAGAATCTATAATAATAAAAGCATAATATGCTCATTAGATCAGACAGCCGAACGACCTTCCAGACATCTTTTCAGACAAACCTGAGATGGCAGGGGCCGAGGCAGAGGCAGTTGGGGCTATCAGACAGGCAGGCAAGCAGTTAGGGGCAATCAGACAGGCAGGCAGGTAAGTGGTTAGGAGCCAGCGGTTCTGGTTTGCAAGAGGGATGTTCAGTAGCAGTCAGACATCCCCCAAGGGGTCCCGGATTGTGAGAAGGTGCAGGCCGGGCTGAGGACCCTTCACCCCCCTCCTCCCTGTGCATGAATTTCATGCACTGGGCCTCTAGTTGATGATAAGTGGAAAATAAAGAATAAGTTGCTAATTGACCACCATTTTATCCTTTCATTCTTTTACAATTTATAATTTTATAAGCATTTAAAATACATTATAAACTGATGAACCAAAAGATAGATATAGAGACAGTAAAGCAATAAGCAGACTGTCAAATTACAGCGGGGAGGGTAGGGAGATCTGGGGGAGATAAGAGATCAACCGAAGGACTTGTATGCATGCATATAAGTACAACCAATGGACACAAAACTCTGGGGAGGGAGAGCACATATTGGGGTGGGGGCAATGGTAATATATGTACACAGATATTAATCTAATAAAAAATAAAATAAAATACATGTAAAGTGTTGAACAAATGTTTTACCCATTGTGAATTATTTTTTCCATTGCACCTATTTTTTTTTCAGTGAAGCACAAAGAATGAGAGAACAATATGATAACCCAGATGCCAAAGAGAAGTATGGAATTATTAACTAAAAATGTCTGGATTGTATTTATATTTTAAGTCAGTCAGTGGACAAACTTTTTTGACTGTTAATATATAGTTCTCATTTGTCTACCAAATCTTGCCCTTCTAACTATTTGTCTTTGACTTCCTCAAGCTTCTTCAAAGGTTGTCTCATATTCCATTTACTCTTGAACCCATGCAGACTGGCTCCTACCCCTTCTACTCATTAGTGATCGCATAATTTTTTATGTTAATTAGCATTTCTGAGCCCTTTTATAGCTCTTGTTTTGTCATCAGCCACTTCTACCTTAAAATTCTCTTCTCTTTTGGTTTCTGTGATAACCCTTTCTCATCATTTCCTCTACCTTTCAGGATATTACTCTGTTTCTTTCATGGACAATTTTATTTTTTGATTATACAGGCAGTCCTTGGGTTATGTCAAACTCGACATACGTTGTTTCGTGATTATGTAGCCATCTCCTATTTATTTTTTAAAAAGTTCCATCATTTTGACATACTGTACTTTAAAGTTGCATATACTATAACTAGAGGCCTGGTGCATAAAATTCGTGCATGGGTAGGGTTCCTAGGCCTGGCCAGTGATCAGAGCTAATTGGGGCCTTCCTTCACTCCCTGCCAGCTGCCAGCTGAAGCCTTCCTTTGTTCCATGCTGCCCCCAGTGGTCAGCGCATGTCATAGCCAGCAGTCGAACTCCCGAGGGGAAAATATGCATATTAGTCTTTTATTATATAAGATTCTGCTCTTAGGTTTCTTTTCTTCTCATTCTTTATCCTTTCAATTAGGAAATCTTCTATCTATGTTTGTAGTTCCAAGTACCTTCCATTAGCTGATGGTTCCTCAATGTATTTCTGGAGCTCAGTTTTTGCTCTCAGTACCAGCCTTGAAATTACAGTGTCTACTGAATTCAACTGGTTACCTTCAAACTCCATATTCTAACATCTCTTAACTTCTATACAACCTACTTTTTATATCCTCTTATTTTGGTGCAACATTTTATTTAGTTGTACCAATTTTTAGTAAAAAATCTACATCTTTAATATCTCTCAGATTTCTCTTATTTTTTCCCTCTCTCTATCTAATACTTAAGATTGAAACCCTTATTCAATCTCTTGGGAAATTTTAACTATCCCCAGAGTGACCTTTCTGCCTCCTGAAGTAGACTCTCTCTATAGTCTACCCTTCTTATTGCCATCATAGCAATGTTCTAAAATGCAATGTTTGAAGTATGTGTTTCTTATCTTAAAATCTTTTAGATGCTTCCCCAGCAGTAGTTTTCAAATATTCATCCATGGTCCATCAGCTTTTGGATCATTTAGAAAACTTGAAAAACTCATATCCTATATCTTCCCCTACAGATTCTGAGTTAGTATAGAGTTCAGGAATCTTTAAGACATTTCCCAAATTATTTTAATAAGCAGACAGGGTTGGAAAATATTGTCCTATTCATGTGGTTCAGATTCCTTATCATGGAGTCCAAGGCTGCTCGGGGTCTGACACCTACCTGCTTCTTGGTGCCATTCTTTTTGTTTTTCCTCCTGTTTTCACTGTGCTCCAGCCAGATGCTCTCTTCTGGCTCTGGAACCTGCCAGTCTTGATTCTCTTTTAAAACCTTTGTTTGCTTTTGTTGAATCAGAACCAGGACCCTAGATTTCTACTTGTTCCACCTCTGCTTCCCTCTGTACCCTAAGCAGCACGTCCTTGGATTTTACCTGTGGAATTCAGGTTGAAAACCACTGAGCTAATTCAAATCAGTGAGGTCAAAAAAGGGACTCACTGCAGCCAGGCCCAGAGCAGCAGCAGCCATGCCGGGAGCGGCAGTGGCCAGACCCGGAGCAGCTGGTTGTGGAGCGGACCAGAGCAACAGAGGCCAGGCCCGGAGCAGCCAGGCCCGGAACAGCTCGCTCCTCGCCTGCCCACGCCCCAGGGCTGCCTCTCAGACATGGCTGGAAACTTTTGGGGGAACTTGAGGGTCTGCTGAATCAAGGTGATGAAGGCTTAGATCTGGATGTGCTGAGTTAGTATAGCGCTGGGGGGTTGATCTGTGAGTGCCTTGTGTGGGGTCTGGATGAGGTTGGTTGATCTATTTTGAAATGTCTTTTGTGTGAAGTGTATCCTTGGGCATGTGGAGGTATTATTGATTTGAGAAAATGCTAAGTAACTGATTTACTATCTGAAAAATCTAAAGTTCTGAAAGTTTAAGGTCTCTTGCCAAAAAGAGGTTTTAAAGCTAAAACCTTAATTTTAATGGAGAAAGGGGAGGGCAAGCCCTTCCCACCTAGAACAGGTAATCCAATTCCAACCAGCAGCTATCTTTAAACAATGTGTTCATTTACATTTGAATGGCTACACCTTTTGATAGGCTAAGGGCAAGTTTACATGTAAACAAGTTTGCTTCTCAATTCCCAGGGCAGAAAAAACAAGGTTTAAAATTGTTAGATTTTAAAATTTATTCTTAGAAGTGTAAAAGTTTATTAATTAAAAAACAACAACAACAACAAAAAAAGGAGATTGAAAAACCTGATGAACAATATTAGCTGTTGATTGTAGTAGAGTCTGAGATAGGGGAGGGGAGTGGACTGATAGTTCTCAGGGGAAGGGGGAGTGGTGGATGCGGGAAGAGACTGAACATAAATTGTGCACCTATGGATGAGGACAATGGGGGGAGGGGAGGGGGCGGAAGGTGGGGTGGGAACCTGGTGGAGGGGCGAAGAAATGAGGAACCTTTGTAATAATATGAACAATAAAGATTGATTTAAAAAAAAAAAGGGACTCACTGACAACTTACAATGGTGAATGACATACCATGTTTAAAATTCAGAATTTATATTCCTAATAAAGTTATTTATTTCTCTTCTTTACTTTCATATATATAATGTCTGGTCTGCTTGATCTGAAATGACTTCTTAATTCTTTCCTTCTTAAATAAATTATCATCCATTTGTTCCCTCATTCATTCTTTATTGATTTGTTCAATAAATATTTATTTGAATATATAGGAGCACTGTAGGATTTGGGGGGAGGTGTGTAGAACATTTGAATAATACAAATTCTTTATCCTTTAAGGTTTTTAACATAGGTCCTTTATATTCAATCATAAAATTCTATAAAAAATTATTAATTTTTAGAAGATAAACTATAATATAACCTTTCCATTGTTTTTTTCTTTTTTCTTTTTCCCTCCAGGGAAAGACCATGTTTGTAGATTTATTGGCTGTGGGAGGAACGACCGCTTCAATTATGTGGCCATGCAATTGCAGGTAGGTTGTCTTGAAAATATATCTTAAAATCTTTCAGTTCTGATCAAAGTACCTAATTATAGTGGGAAATAATAATAATAATAACAAAATTCTTGGTATCATATCAGAATGTTTTATATTATTCAGATGGAAATTTGTTTAAACGCACTTGATACAGGTATTTCCAAAGATGGAAGGGTTGTCTCAGTTATTTTAGTTGATTCTTATCTTCACTGATTGTTATCATTGCAGTTTTCAGTCCTTACATGGATTGCTGGATGTAATGTGAGTCTTGCCCAGTCCCTATCCCTACCCTTTCTACCCTTTGTTACCTTAAGGATCTAGTTTTCCAGTTACGTGCTCAAGTACCAACCTGACCTGCTTAAAAATTAAAGCACTTGTTGAAATAGAAGAGAAATACTAGTCCTCTTTCTCTTTTCATCTTTTAATATTGCTTTCTCTGTTCCTGTCCTTCAAATGAGAAGTGAGTTGGATTGGGGCAGCAGAGAGAAATTCAGAAGGGGGATATTGGAGTAATGACTGCAGCAGGAAGAAGAGGGACCCATCCCCTTCTCTCTGACACTACCTCTGTCCCGAAAACACAGACCTCTGAACTGTAGCCACCCTCAAAGGGTTAAAGCTTGGTTCCACATTGCTGCCTAAGTTAGAGATAGCAAGGTTTTCTTTTATCTGTGACAAAATCTGTTTTGGGCATTTGGTTCTTTTCTTTCAACTTAACTGCATAGAGGTGATTTCAGAGACATAGGTTCTGGCCTTAAGTGTTTCCTCTTCTCCTCAGAAGGCTTTTCTTGTTTCCATTAGCTATCCTTTAGCATTTGAGTTAGATGTAAAGATATTACTCTTTCTGTAGACTTAAAGTTTTTAAGTCATATGTTTCACTATCTCTTGAGCCAGCACAAGTTTATAAATTCTTTAGTTAGTCTCTTCCCACCCACTCGACACCCTCACCTTCCCTCTCAGATTCAACAGTCTCTTCCTTACTTCTATATCTCTGGATCTATTTTGTTCATCAGTTGATTTTGTTCATTAGAGTCCACATATGAGTGAGATCGTGTGATACTTGTCTTTCTCTTATTGGCTTATTTCACTTAGCATCATACTCTCATGTCCCTTAGTGCTGTTGCAAAGGGTAAGAGCTCCTTCTTTGTTACTGCTGCATAGTATTGCATGGTGTAAGTGTACCACAGCTTATTTATCCATTCATTTACTGATGGGCACTTGGTCTGTTTCCAGAACTTAGATATTGTAATAACACTGCTATGAACATAGATGTGTATACATTCTTTCTGAACGGTGTTTCAGATTTCTTAGGATATATTCCTAGAAGGGGGGTCACTGGGTCAAAAATTCTTTAAAGAGTACTCCATCAGCTATTAAGTTATCTTGAGGAAGGACAACATTTCCTATAGGAAGGACGGGACTAATACTTGATTCTTTTATTTACCAGTATTCAGAATAGTTGGTTGGTTCCCTAATATTTTCCAAAGGGGACTAACTAGTCCTCTATTTTATTTTATTTTTTAAATATATTTTATTGATTTTTTACAGAGAGGAAGAGAGAGGGATAGAGAGAAACATCGATGAGAGAGATACATCGATCAGCTGCCTCTTGCACATCCCTACTGGGGGTATGCCCGCAACTGAGGTACATGCCCTTGACCGGAATCAAACCCAGGACCTTTCAGTCCGCAGGCCGACACTCTATCCACTGAGCCAAACCGGTTTCGGCTAGCCCTCTCTTTTAAAAAAATATAATTATGGCCCAGCCAGTGTGGCTTAGGAGCCAAGAGGTCAGTGTTTGATTCCCAGTAAGGGCACATGCCCGGGTTGTAGGCTCAATCCTCAGAAGGAGGCGTGTAGGGGGCAGCTGATTGATAATGTTTCTTACCAATGTTTCTATCTCTCTATCCCTCTCACTTCATATTTTTAAAATTTTTTAAAATATATATAATTATGAGTTCATAGATTTAACATGATCTGTGTCTTTCAATCATTGTTTTTCTTTTCAATGTTCAAATTGGCCCATCTTGCCAAAACCGGTTTGGCTCAATGGATAGAGCGTCAGCCTGCAGACTGAAAGGTCCCGGGTTCGATTCTGGTCAAGGGCATGTACCTTGGTTGCAGGCACATCCCCAGTGGGAGGTGTGCAGGAGGCAGCTGATCAATGTTTCTCTCTCATCATGTTTCTAACTACTGTGTTTCCCCGAAAATAAGACATCCTCCGAAAATAAGACCTAGCACATGGAAAGATAAGACATCCCCTGAAAATAAGACCTAGCGCAACTTTGGGAGAAAAAAATTAATATAAGACATTGTCTTATTTTCGGGGAAACAGAGTATCTATCCCTCTCCCCTTCTCTCTGTAAAAAATCAATAAAATATATTAAAAAACAAAAAACAAATTGGCCCATCTTTGGCTAACAAAACTTCCTTCAAGTTGTATCCTGATTCATTTTGACAGTACTAGACTGCAACATTCTTTGATAGCATCCTTACTTTCTGGTATAAAGTTGTGTACCTGGCTCTTTGTTTATAATTTATGCTTTAAGTGGATGGATTCAGTGTGTGTGTGTGTGTGTGTGTGTGTGTGTGTATGTATTTTTTTTTTTAATTTTTAATTATTTTTTTTTTAAGAGAAAATGTATCATGGTTTATGTTTATATTTCCAATTCAAGTTTTTGGTAGTAGAATTGCTACTGCCCTCTTTGATTTTATATTGTGAGGTTCAGGGGCATCAAAGTGCATCTCCTTACTCTTATGCAACTTTTTAAAATAGGTAGATGAAATTATAAGATTGGGATTTATATAAAAATAATGCATTGTATGTGTGTGGGGAAGGGAGAGGAGGGTATGTGTTGCTGGGGAGTAGTAGATAACAGATGAGGGTTAGTTATATTACTTTCTCTCCCTTTAAGTATATTTCAAGTTCTTAATAATGAATTATATTTGTATTTTTATTAGGACCATATTAAATTTATAGAATTAGTTAGGAATAAATGAATTTACTTTTTTATTCAATAATATTTATCCTATGGGGAGAGAAACATAATGAAGTAATAATAATAATAATAATATTTACTCCATATTACTGTGTAAAAAGGTTTTTATATGGCTGCATATTAGTCATTGAGATGATTACCATGATTTATTTAATCTTTCATTTAATGATGGATATATAGGTTGTTTTCAATTTGTCCTCATAACAAATAACCACTTGTATATACTCTGAAGTTCAGGTTTACATTTGTTCATATGGAAAATGATACAATAATTAATAAATAATAATATAAAATTTTTTTCACATACCGTATTTTTCGGACCATAAGACGCTCCGGACCATAAGACACACCAGTTTTTAGAGAAGGGAAATGAAGAAAAAAAGATTCTGAAACAAATAGTGTCCTAAAATATTTTATGTGCATTAAAACCCAACATCACAGTCATAAACACATGTAATCAACCCTGTAAAGTAAACAGCAGCATTTAGAACCATTTTAGAGCCGGGCAAGCACACAGAGACCACACAGAGCCGGGCAAGTAAAAAAACTTTTTTTTTAAAGTATATGTGTAGGCTATATTTGGACCATAAGACGCAGGGACTTTTCCCCCCCACTTCTGGGGGGGAAAAAGTGCATCTTATGGTTCGAAAAATACAGTACTCATAACTGTAAACCTTTTTATTCACCCTTCATAATTTACTGGCTCAAATCTGCATGTATAATATTTACCATGTTAATAACTCTTTCCTTATATGCCACACTTGTACTTATCTTTTTAGATTCTGTTATTTGATGCCTCAGGTGTACATTTAAAAGTATTTAAACCCAACCTACGTGGCTCAGTGGCTGAATGTCTGAGGTCACAGTCTGATTCCTGTCAGAGCACACGCCCCGGCTATGGGCTCAGTTCCCAGTAGATGTGCAGGAGGCAGCTGGCCAAGGATTGTCATCATTGATGTTTCTGTCACTCTCTCCCTCTCCCTTCCTCTCTGGAATCAATAAAAATATCCTTTAAAAAAAGTATAAATTTTTTTAAATAAAAGGAATTAAAATAATTACTGATATAAGTTTAATTTAATTGATTTCCTTTTTTAAAAGACATTTTTTATTGATTTTTTTATTAGAGAGAGAGGAAGGGAGAGGGATAGAGAGATGGGAATCGAACCATGACCTCCTGGTTCGTGGGTTGATGCTCAACCACTGAGCCATGCCCACTAGGCTAATTGATTTCCTTTCAAAAGCTTTTATGGTGGTGGAAATTGTTTATAAATGAAGTTTAGTATTGGATATATTTTTGGCAATGAAAATACTGATTTTTGAAGAAAAATTTATTGGAATGCTAATAAAGGTTATTAGGTACTCTCATGGGATTATAAAAGTTGTTCTACATTATCACTTATTTTACATTTTCTGAGGATATACAAAACAACAAATTCTCCTAACATTAAAAAAAAAAAAAAAAAAAAAGGTAACCACCAATTTGTGCTGTGGGAAAAATGCATTTTTAAAAAAGATATTAGTATGAAAGGTTCCTGACATTCTGGTAAATTTTAAGTTCTTAGTTTACTTGAGTACTATTTAATACTTTATTTCAAATAGGTACTTAAATAACTTCAGATTTTATTACTTTTTCAAAAGTGAACCAACTATCTTTAGTTGAGGTGATGGTATTAGTGGTATTAATCCAAACATATACTACAAAATTTGGAGAATAGGGAGGTTGGAATATTTAAATTTCCTTGAGATATAAGGGCCGGTTTCCATTCTATGGGAAGTAGAACTGCAGCATTGTAACCCATTCATCTCATCAGATTTGGTTGTTACTTAGGCTATAAGGAACCTTCTGGTGAAATAGTACTGTGAAGTGGAAAAAGAACACTTTGGAATCTGGCAGACTTAGATTTGAAAGACAACTTTACCTTAACAGTTTAACATTATTTAAACTCTCTGAGCCTCAGTTTCCACATCTGTGAAACAGAAATGGCAACTTCGATTCAGGGTGCTGTGAGAATTAAATGCAATCTTTAATGTAACATATCTGTCACAGGTTAGATACACTCATTGCTTTTATATACTGCTAGAAGTAATTGAGTATTTCATAGAATTTTTGTTCACAATAACAATAATTAGCATATATTCAATACCTACTGTTTGCCTGACAGTATTTTAAATACTTTTTTAATCCTCACAAAACATTGGCCCCATTTTATATGGAAACTGTGTCAGAAAAATTAATTGGCTTGTATGGAAATATATGTTAGGCAGTAATAAGGAATTAATTATATATATATTTACATATATATAATCTTTTAAAATAAACAAGACTATATTTTGTTATGATATCAGAAACAAAGGGAATTGTGAGTTAGAAACATACTATGTTAAAAAACTGGTTATTCTTACATTTGTCTGAAATGTTAATGTATTACCCTATCAGAATCTTTTCTCTTGAGTGAAAGAATCATGATTTGGGTAAAATTCTTGCTATTTCACTCAAAACATTTTTAATGATAAATGGATAATTCCCCATCTTTTCTTATACCATAATTTTCGTACCATATTTGAAAGTGTTTATTTGGTTTCCATAGGGTCGGAATCTGGCAGATCTACGCCGTAGCCAGTCCCGGGGCACCTTCACTATTAGCACCACTCTTCGGCTGGGTAAACAGATTCTGGAGTCTATTGAGAGCATCCATTCTGTGGGATTCTTGCACCGAGACATCAAACCGGTAGGGGACTGTTTCCAGCCAGAGCACAGAATGAGTTTACTCAGTACTCTTATCTTAAAAAGGGACACAATAACTTACAAGTGTAGTTTTCTATATTAAATGCAAGATAATATTTTAATTTCTGTAACAGAAATGTAATTGGAAGCAAAATATAACTTGCCTTTTCATTAAAAAAAAAAAAAAGGTAATTACACACTACAACTTATATTCAAGAGCTTTTTTCCTACAATGAAAATGTGTTCAAAAGCCGAGACCAGTTTGGCTCAATGGATAGAGCGTCGGCTTGGGGACTGAAGGGACCCGGGTTCGATTCTGGTCAAGGGCATGTACCTTGGTTGTGGGCATATCCCCAGTAGGGGGTGTGCAAGAGGCAGCTGATCAATGACTCTCTCTCATCGATGTTTCTAGCTTTCTATCTCTCTCCCTTCCTCTCTGTACAAAATCAATAAAATATATTTAAAAAAAAGAAAATGTGTTCAACAACCAAATTAAAAACGACTAATGTTTGGCTATTATTATTATTATGTATGTTAGCATTGCCATATTACTTAGCTTTATACCTAAATTGATAATTATTCTTTGGATTTATTTTCTCTAGAATTGGTTACAAATATTTACAAAAGATGTTTTTTGATATTGTCATGTTTTTTTGAACTATTTTTAATTTTTTTATTTGAGTTATGGCTGGAAAGAATTCAGGGCAAAGAATTATGATAGATCCTCCCTTCCCCCAACTGATGGACGGAGTATGACGTAAACTGTACATGCAGCCTGGACATTCCTGAGCACCTAACCAGGCACCATATATGGACTGTACATTGAACCACCAGTCAACACCTGCTAAATATCCTAAGCCCCTAAGTCCCTAAGTGCCTTATCATGTGTTTTATATGAAATCACTACTCAGTGAGTGCCAAGTACCCTAAGCCCCATCCCTTCCCTTTCCTCCCCTCAAAAGGCGCCTTCACCCCTGCACATGTGCTCTCTCCCTTTGGAAGGCAGCCTGGCAGGGGTCCTTCTCCTCTAATAAAGCCTGTAGTCCTGGTTTTCAGCCCCTCTGAAAGTTAAACTATATGAGAGTTTATTTAAAAAGTTAAATATATGAGAGTTAAACTATATGAGAGTTTATTTAAAGTTAAACTTTCAAGTTAAACTATATGAGAGTTTATTTAAAAAGACACAGAGATAAAATGAGTGATAGAAGAAATGGGCTCAGGAACCAAGTTACAGAGCGAAAAGAAGGAGTTTAGGAGAGAGGAAGGTGAAGGTAACATGCGTGGGGGGGGGGGGGGAGAAGATGGGGAAGGGGAAGGCACAGGCATGCTCCTGAGAGGGCGAACACCTGAACTACTTTTAAGTAATAAATTATACTTATAAGAAACTATTTAGCCCTAACCAGGTTGACTCGGTGGCTAGACCGTTGGCCTGCCAGACTGATAGGTCCTGGGTTTGATTCCAGTTGAGGGCACATTGCCCAGGTTGCAGACTTGATCTCTAGTAAGGGTCGTGCAGGAGGCAGCTGGTCAATGATTCTCTCTCATCATTGATGTTTCTATCTCTCTCTCCCTCTCCCTTTCTCACTGATCAATAAAAATATATATAAAAAAAGAAACCATCAATTTTGAAATACTACCTTTTTCTTCTGAGTATTACAATGGCAATATATAGTACTTTTTTCCTATTGTTTTTCTTAGATCTATCATTTCCATAACTGAAATTTTTTTTTCCTTCTCATTTATTTGTTTATCTTTACTTTTTAAGATATATTTTAATTGATTTCAGAGAGGAAGGGAGAGGGAGAGAGAAATAGAAACATCAATGATGAGAGAGAATCATTGATTGGCTGCCTCCTAATCATCCCCAATCAGGGATCTAACTGCAACCCAGGCATATACCCTTGACCAGAATTGAACCCGGGACACTTTAGTTCACAAGGCCGATGTTCTTTTTTTTAATTTTTTAAAATTAATTTTCCACAGAGAGGAAGGGAGAGGGATAGAGAGCTAGAAACATCCATGAGAGAGAAACATCGACCAGCTGCCTCTTGCACACCCCCTACTGGGGATGTGCCCGCAACCAATGTATTATACATGCCCTTGACCGGAATCGAACCTGGGACCTTTCAGTCCCCAGACCGACGCTCTATCCACTGAGCCAAACCGGTTTTGGCACAAGGCCGATGTTCTATCCACTGAGCCAAACCAGCTAGGGGCTTCTCATTTTTTATTTTATTTTTTTATTGCTCATAAGGAGAATGACCCATTTTGGAAATACCGTGTTTACTAGAAATTTTTCATTTTTGGTGCAGTTGAAAATTACACCATCTGTTGCTACTTGATTTCTAAAATTAGTTTACATGAAAATGGCAACTAAAAGTAACATGATTGAATCAGACTTAATGAAATGTAGATTTCTTTGATTCTTATTTCTATGCCTAACTAAATGTCATTATTTGAGAACTGGTGATGAAGAGCTTCCATTTTTATCAGAAAGTTCCCTAAGAAGAACAATGTTTTAAAATAAAAGCTAACAATTCTGTGACAATTTGACTTTTGCTTTTATAAATTATCTTGTTTACATATCCATCTTTGCAAGTTTGTAGTCATTTAACGTTACATTTATTTTTACTCATATAAAGTATATTTTCCTTAAGTCTGTTTTGAAATGTTTCCTTAAATTGCATCTTAATTTTTACATTAGCAAAATTCAGCTTTAGGATATTCATTTACATTTCTGAGCTATGTGTTTGATTTTACCCACGTCTAGTTTTTCCATTTAAAAAAACCAAATGGGTTTTCATTTAGGCAATGGCTTAGAGGAAGTTAGAGTTCTGATTTCAGTTAAGTCACTGTTGTGTTATATACAATTTTATACAGTTGCTTAAATCTTTGTTGCTCAAAGTTCACCTGATCATAGACATAATAGAACCCACAAGGAAATTTACAGTAGACATAATTGACTAGAATAGTGTATTTGATACATGTGTGCTGTATAGAATTTAAGCAGAAGAATTAAAATATAGAAAGGATAATATATAAGGACTAATTATAAGAATATGTATATTTTCCTTCTTTATTTTTCTAGTCGAACTTCGCCATGGGTCGCTTTCCTAGTACATGTAGGAAGTGTTTCATGCTTGATTTTGGCTTGGCTCGACAGTTTACTAATTCCTGTGGTGACGTCAGACCAGTAAGATTTTTCATGTTATTAAAAATTTGAGACTTAACCTATTACTTATTATATCACTCTATTTAAAGAAATGCTAATTATGTATCAGAATGGATGTGATTCAAGAAGTAGCATACATATTTATGATTAAATCATAGAAATGAGTTAATTATTCCACTATTGAAAGTTGTAGATTTTTAAAAAATACATTAGACACAGATTTAGAGTTGTCTTGTATTAAGAACACAAATTAGCCCTTTAGGATCAGTGGTCTTTTTTTGCAATCCAAAGCTCTTTCTACCTACTACAGTTATTCTATTTCACAAAAGGTAAGATTTTCTTCTATTTTAAGGCCAAGTAGTATTCCGGACTTCGCAACCTCAGAGGTAAGGTGGAGGAAAGTGGGAGGGAAGAAATCAAAGAACTTGTATGCATATATGCATAACCTATGGACACAGATAATAATTTGGTGAAGGCTGGGTCAGGTGGTGAGGGCAGGCTAAAAGGGATCAATGGTGGGGAAAGGGGACATACGGTATGTAATATTTTCAAAAATAAAGATTTAATTTTAAGAAATTATGAGAGAGAATCATCGGTTGGCTGCCTTCTACATACCCCCCATTGAGGATTGAACCCAATACCCGGGCATGTGCCCTGACCAGGAATCGAACAGTGACCTCCTGGTTCATAAGTTGATGCTCAATCACTGAACCATGCCACTTGGGCTGCTTCCAAATCTTGGCTATTGTAAATAACGCTGCAGTGAACATAAGGGTTCATACATTCTTTCGAATTAGTGTTTTGTGTTTCTTTGGATATATTCCCAGAAGTGGAATTACTGGGTCATGAGGCAATTCCATTTTTAATTTTTTGAGGAAACTTCATACTGTTTTCCACAGTGTCTGCACCAGTCTGCATTCCACCAGCAGTGCATGAGGGTTCCATTTTCTCTATGTCCTTGCTTGTTGATGTTTAATTTATTGATGATAGCCATTCTGACTGGTATAAAGTGGTATCTCATGTGATTTTAATTTGAGATCAGAGTTTGATACTTGTTCTGACCTTAGGTGTGCTTCTGTCATCTGTCTGATTCTTCTTGTTCTCCCCTGGAAAGCCTATAGTCCAGGCTGTTTTGTCATTAGATCCACCAATCTTACCCAGTTTCCTTTGCTACAACCTCCACTATTTTTGAAAGGTGTCTTGGGTTTAAACTTAACTGTTGCATATGAAACCATTTCCTTTAGGAAGAGATTAAGAGTTACCTCTTTTTCATGGACATAGACAACAGTGTAGTGATTGTGGTGGGAAGGAGTGGGTAGATTTGAAAGAGGGCATAAATGGTGATGGGAAAAATAAATACAATAAAGAAGAATTATCTCTTTTCGCCTTTTGCCCCTAGGCAAAATCTCTTAAAATCTCTGGATTTGAGGGTAAGGATTGTGGCTAGTTGTTCTCTAAGTGGCTGATTCACTTTAGGAGCTGAGTCCTTTGGTTCAATTGGAGGTAGCAGTCTGAAGTCCCTCAGCAAGGAATCACTGCCTCGTGAGCCAAGAGAAGGGCAGTTGGGGTCCCATTATTCTCTGCACACCGCATTCAAGGTAGAGCCTCTGTTCCGGAAGGGAAGGCTACCACAGTTGCCCGGGATTTAGCCTGCTCAGCAACAGACAGCTGGGAGAATATGAGAAATACTGAAGTCCTGCCTCTGTATGGGAAGTGGGGAAGGAGGGAACCCTGTGTTCTTCGGTGCAGCATTCTGGAGTAGAGTCACCTTTTTGGTTCAGCATCATAGACTTTTCGCCTTTCTTATTGAAGAATTTCATAGGTTTTCCTAGACAGATATTTCTTCATTTGTTATTTGCCCTAAGGACTATTTCCAGAGGTTTTAGTAGTTGTTTGTTTTTTAAACATTTTTATTGATTTTAGAGAGGAAGAGAGAGAGAAAGAGAAACATCAGTGAGGAGAGAGAATCATTGATCAGCTGCCTCCTGCATGCCCTCCTCCTGGGGATTGAGCCCACAACCCTGGCATGTGCCCTGGACCAGAATCGAAGCTGGGACCCTTCAGGCCGATGCTCTATCCACTGAGCCAAACTGGCCAGGGCTTTAGTTGTGCTTTAAAACAATTTTCACTAGTTTTACTGGGCAGTGGAGCTCCTCATGTTGTCATACTGGTGTCGTTCTTATACTTGCATCTTCCTTTTACTTTAGTTTTGCTTTAACTTGCTACAGATTGTGTCTCTCATTCCGAGTAAATTGGTTGCACAGAAATTGAAATACTGGTTTTGAATGAATTAACTATATAATAATAGTTGTATACAGAAATGTAAATTATATTTAAAATAAGGGCATATGAGCCCTAACTGGTTTGGCTCAGTGGATAGAGCGTCGGCCTGTGGACTGAAGGGTCCCAGGTTCGATTCTGGTCAAGGGCATGCATCTTGGTTGCAGGCACATCCCCAATAGGGACTGTGCAGGAGGCAGCTGATTGATGTTTCTCTCTCATTGATGTTTCTGTTTCTCTCTCATTGATGTTTCTGACTCTGTATCTCTTTCCCTTCCTCTCTGTAAAAAAGCAAATATATATATATATATATATATATATATATATATAGCCTAGAAATTATGAATCTTTTTTATTCTAGTGAAGGTCTTACATATTAATAGTGAAATGTGAGGTGTGGGGAGTGGATCTTCCCCTTGCAGGTTCTTGCCTCGGGATGTTTGAAGAATAAAATTCACTAAAAGGACTTGTTCGTAAAAGGGTGGAAATTTATTGGAAGCAAATACAGACTCCAACGTAGGGCGGGGCTCCCAAGGGGGATAACCCACTCATCTCCTTTTTTCTGTGGTTCTTCAGTGCTGTGGTTCTTTGTCTCTTCATGCTCCCTTCTAATTGGACCCCTCCCCATTTTATGACCCTGTGCTTTTCTAATTGGTCTCCTTTGCAGAATATCAGCTTCAAAGTTTAAAACCCACTGTGGTGCTTCCTCTTTTTCTCCCCCCCTATCTTGCAACATTCCTCTATCTCCTATGAACATGTTTCCCTCTTTCCAGCATCTGTGGTCATTTCTCTATCCTCTGTGAAAGTATGTATCCTTTTCCCCATACTTGGTGACTTTTCTTTATCCTCTGTGAATGTCTTCCTTCCTCTCCCCTTATCCTGCCACACTTTTCATTCTTTGTGACTGTATGCCTTCTGGCAGCTCCAAGCCCTCATGTATTCCTCCCCTAGGGGCCCTCTTTATTCCTAAACTACGTAAACCTGCCATTTTGTCCCTAGAATTCCTTTCAGTAGGTAGGAAGGTAGTGTTACTGTTCCAAAGTCCGTGTGCACTATGCTTCAAAAGGCCATGGCTCAAAACATCTTAGTTTAGAGTAAGGAAAGGTTTATTGATCAAGAAGGTTCCTACTGAGAAGATGGGAGACCTAGTGGTTTTTCAGATTCATCTTAAGAAAGAGTTCAAGCTTCTTTTATGTCAAGGGAAGGAAATATGAGAGGGGTATATGAGGTGATTGACCACTGTAGACGTTTGGGTGCCAGCAGTAGTCTGAGGAAGATCAATGCTACTTGATATGAGTCTGATCACAAGGTTCTTAAAAATCTTTGATAAACAATACATACTTCCCTATCTCCTCAAGCCACAAGCAGAATTCCTCTAATGATTAGCATGTCTATATGCAAGTCTTAGCAGAAGCTATTATCCCAAAGGACATGGAGTAGAGAGACTGAGCATTTCATTATTACAGTAAATGATGAATTTAGTATTATTTAACTTATTAGATTTGAATGTTATTCTGGAATCTTCTTTCTATTTCAGGTATCTTTTAATTTTTAGAATATTATCAGGTTATTTTTATTCTCTCATTAACATATTTAGTGAGCACATATTATATGTGAGGCATGGATGTAGGTGCTGGGACTACAGCCATGAATAAGCAAACCAAAATAAGGCTCTTATAGATTTATATTTTAGTGAAGACAAATAATACACAAATAAATACATAATTTTAGGTAGTGATAAATGCAAAGAAGAAACACAAAGCATTGTACTGACATAGAGGGAGTGATGGGCAGTGAGGACAAAAGACTATTTTAGAGGTGTTAGTTAGAAAAGCCTCTTACGAGGAGATATTGAGTTCAGAGTTTGAAGTAAGAGTAAGCCATGTAAATATCTGCTAAGAAAGTATTCAGGAAAGAATCGGGACTTTTTTAAAACGCCACGGGATGCGGGACAAATTGTTAAAAATCTGGACTGTACCACTAAAAGCGGGACATCTGGTCGCCTTAGGCAAAGGGAACAGTGAGTGAGAGTAAAGGTACTGAGGCAGAGTCAATTTGGTGTATTCAAGAAAAAGTACCTAGGAACATATCCTAAGAAACTAGAAACACCAATCAAAAAGGATATATGCACCCCTATGTTCATAGCAGCACAATTTACAATAGCTAGGATTTGGAAACAGCCTAGGTGCCCAAAGCAGATGATTGGATCAAATGGTACATTTACACAATGAAATACTATGCTGCCATAAAAAATTCTTATCATTTGCAGCGACCTGGATGGAATTAGAGAACATTATGCTGAGTGAAATAAGGCAGTCAATGAAAGAAAATCACCACATGATCTCACTCATTTATGATGAGGAACATTATAAACTGATGAACAAGGGGTTAGATACAGAGACAGTAAAAGAAACAGAATGTCAAATTACAGCAGGGAGGGTAGGGAGATATGGGGGAGATAAGAGATCAACCGAGGGACTTAGATACAAGATATAAGCATAACCAATGGACAAAAAACTCTGGGGAAGGAGGGCATGTATGGGAGTGGGGATGGGGTGGGAATTGGTAAGGTATGTACACATATAATACCTTAATAAAAAAAAGGGGGGGGGGAGCCACTGTAGCTATAGCTTAGCATAGCATCATAAGGGATAAGCGGAGAAAGATGAGGTTTAAAAAGTTGGAAGGCTCCCCAAACTGTATGATTTTGCAGAGATAGATTTTATTCTAAGTGATGGAAG